CTTATTCCTCAAATGAAAGGCTCAAAAGCAAAATATAATTTCCCACAAAAATTTTTCATTTAAATGTTCAGTTTCAAGGCCATATATCTATATATTCAAAAATCTGTTATATATTATATCATTTTTCTTTTTGAAGCATTATTTATTTTTAAAAGATTCATAGATTAATAAAAATTGTGTTTGTGAATTACACCACTCTTGCCTTAAACTAAGAAATATAACAACTTTTACAATGCATATCATCTTTTCTTCTGAAAGATTAGCAAATTTCGGTACTTTTCCATTTTACTGGCGCAAGCGATAAAGGTCCCCAAAAATGGTACAACCAAAGCCAAACAGGATATCCTCGCTGTTAACCTTTTATGCCTCATTTTCAAAACAATTCACAGCCATTTCTTTTCAGATTGATTGTTTTTCTCAATACTGGCATACAATTATATAGAATTTTTACCAGATAGTTCAATTTTATGCCCTAAGGCCATTCGCGGTGATTAAGTCAATTAGGATGCAATCACACCGCTCACACAAAGGCGAAAATACAGGAAAGGCGAAGTCAAGGATTAAATTCATCAATTATAATGAGAATGCACTAGCGAAGTAAAGCATTGCGGTTTTACATAATTTATGAGTAAGCTATTCGTACCAATTGAAATAATTCTTGCATTTAAACTTGTATTCAAAATTAAGATTTAACTTGAAATTAATGTAGATATTTACTGAGACAATTAGATTTTTGTAGCATAATTTACGTGAAATGAGATCACTTGGGGTCACGTGATATGAAACGGCAAGCCAGTATGTTGTACCATGAAAGCATAGTAAATTCTTAAATTAATGTCTTTTTACAAATTTATTGTCTTTTTACAAAAATTTTAAATGATATTAAAATGCTCATGTCTTCGAAATAAAAATTTCTTAGAATTAACATTTCTTAACAATTTTTATGTGTATACTGTGTGTTGTCACCAATAAAATCTGCTTGGCGAGATTTGCTCCGACGAAACGGAAACCCAAATTTCTTAAATTCCTTCAATGTAAGAATGATGCAACTCATAAATCTATTTTAAAAACTGCATATGGATTACTTTAGAAAGACAAACTTCAATAATACAGCAGAATGAATACACTTTTCAAAGTTAAGTAATAATCATAATTTAAAAGACACAAAAATAAATTCAATAATGGCTTGCCCCAATCTAATCCTATTAAGTTTAATAATAAAAGAATTGAAACTAATTAAATGTGTAAATAATAAGAATCCATATTATGAAATTTATTTTTAAATTATGTAGAAGGGATGAAGTAAACATAACTTTAAAACAGAACTATAATCATATGATTCAAATTACTCTGGAACTCTAATTAGGATTACTTGTTTCTTCTAGCAGAGTAAAACCCAACTTGTGAATACATTCACAAGCTTTTATTACATTAATATTTATTATTTTTACGTTACAAATTTAAATCAATAAAAAATAGCTTTAATGTAATAAATAAAAAAATCATAATTAAACTGCATAAAAATTATTTTAGTTTATTTTTAGTTGGTAACCTAAAAAAAATCAGCATTTCTTAAATACACTATTCTGCTTCAACAAAGTTCCTCAAATGATTAAACACCAAACACTCTCAAATTTCTCATTTTAGTTGATATTTTATAACAGTTATATAGTTAAATATATCTTTCATGTTTAAATTTAATTTTGCTCTTTATTTTTTAAATTAACAAGATTTAACCTACATTGTCAATAACCAATAAAGGTCATGAACAAATTAATAAGAAACCAAGAAAACACAACTAAAATTACTTAAGATACTTAGATATGAATTGTAAATTAATTATTTATAAATGAAAGTTATATTATCTCATTTGAAGTTAAATTGTGAAAATGTAAAATAAATGGAAGTAATGATTATTACAAAAATAATTAACGAACAATAACAGGGTTCATAGCCACATTTTAGTTAAAAAAATAAGCACCTATAAGCACTTTTCAAGCACATTTTAAGGAAAAAATAAGCACCTGTCTAATTACATTATACACAACTGCATAACCTTAAAAGAAAAATTAGACTTGTAATTTAAAATATGAGCAATGCAATATTTATTAAGAGAATGAGCATTACCTCAACAATGGAAAACAATTAACTTTTTTTTTTTAAAATTTTAAATGACAGTTCAATTTACAGAATTAGTTTACAATGAGAGGAAAAAAAAACTATGCAGAACTAAACTCTATTACAAAATTTAATGATGATATTTCTGTTGAAAATATAGAAAATAAATAATAATAAGCCATATTAATTATATTCGTTTGGCACCTAATAATAAATACAATTTATTTTTTTACTCATATTAATATTTAAATAATTTAATATAAATCAAAATTCTGAACATTTTCTAAATTTTCATTGCATAACAGTTTTCCCTTAACATATATCCCAAGCAAAGTAATTTAAGTAAAAAAGAGGCACATTTCTGAAATCAGAAGATTGGGAAATTGCTTCATTCAGTCATCCTTTAACAGTAAAAGCTTAACTAACCAGCATACTCGGAAATTCCCAAATTTTCCGGATAGTAACTGGAAAAAGAGGAGTGGGGAGGATTGTAGCCATTCTTTAGATTTAAATTTAGGCTAAATAAATGATTTTGACATTTTGATATGTGCATCATATAAAAACCAACAGAACTGAGAAATATTCTGCTTGGAAAGCACAATAAAACTCTTTTAAGTGTTCATGAACAAATCTCAGACTGAACATCAAAATTAATTATCAATGCAAAATACCGCAAACGTTATTGCGCAATACGTGCGGCGTAATTTTCCCATATGTGATATTACGCAATTGGAATCGACACCTGTCGGTATTCGGAGAAAGAAGAACTAAATAAAGGAAAAGAAAGACTTACTAATCTGGGGTATTTCTGATTCTAATTTTCAACACACTGTATTAAATTTCCGGAATAGAATCAATCTTCGCTTGGGTTGGGTAGACCGCAAAAACTTTTAGTCCTATTCAATCCAGATTGGACAGTGACAAAAAAAAAAGTCCGCTGTTCAATATTAGAGATTTTGTGGAGAAACAACCCCCGTACTGTATAATGTATTGGCAAAGAAAATAAAATTATTTTGACTATTCGATTACTTTCCTTTTATTTAAGCCATTCCGAATATTATTCCTTAGAAAGCTAATCTGTGTAAAAACACGCCCATTTTTGGAAGTTTATCTATACTTCAGCAGTTACTGCAATTATATTACAGTCAAAAGTCGTTAATTCGGACACCCATAATTCGGAATGATCTATAATCCGGACCTCAAAACTAAAAACTTTCTGCGCATGCGCCGCGTTGACACATGCGCATAGGTGTTTACGCGTGCGCGTAAGACCTTTTACGACTGTGCATATGAGTGTGCGCAAGTGCAGAATACGTTTTCGCGTGCGCGTTTTATGTATAATGGACGTATAAGCTAAAATTATCTAATTATCTATTTCAGTTAATGTTGATGATTGCGTTGTTCCTTAATTTTCGAATTGGATCCGGCTTATTATTTTTTGCAGACTGTAAGAGAATTTTATAAAAGTAAGCTAAACTTTCGATTATATCAAATAGAATTTCCGATATATATTTGTTAATATGTAAAGGATCTAAAGCGAAAGTATGTTTTGAAATCCGAAATCTGTTTATCAATTTCACACTGCTCGGCAGGGGGAACGCCGTGGCGGGCGCGTAATGAATTGGAAGTTGATCTGTCAGCACTATCCTTATCTTCAGCACAGATGTTTTTATTTTATTTGGCTTATAATTCCTTACCAAATGTAGTATTTCATCTCGATATGCTCCGTCTTTGATATGATTTAAAACAAGTTCCTCGTCATTATAATTCGCTTCCGATAGTGAAGAAAAGTGACAGAGGTTATTGAAAACGAAAAAATTTCGATTGACAAATTAGTCGGTGTTCTCGACACAGCAATTATAGGACTTGAACAGCGGAACTTTGTAACTGAACAAGAAATTATGTCTGTTTAATAGAATTAAAGAAAAAGTATTATCACATGAAACGAAGCAAAACTTAAACAACTTACATTGAAAGAAATGTTTAATAAAGTAAACAAATAAATATTAAGCTTTTTCTTTTTGCAAATTTTGATACCCTTTAGATCATAATTGTTCTTTATTTCATAAATTATGGTTTCATATTTTTAATTTTAGAATTTCTGCATGCCATCTTACGAGATTTAAACTGATGATCTATAATCCGGAAAAATCGATAATCCAGAATCGCCGAGATCCCAACGAGTCCCGACGAGTCCGGATTAACGACTTTTGACTGTATTATAAATATTCATAAATATGCTCATAATATAAGCATAAGGATCGTAATAAACACGAATATGAACTGACCACGCGGAACGAGAATGCAAATTTATTAAAATCTTGATAGAAATTCAAACGTGTGTAGTATTTGGGTGGGACGAAAAGAATACCGAATGTACCGGAATTTTCTACGTTTTTGCAATTCTTTGGCCAATAGAACGACGTGCACCTGTCTGTACTCTCGCATGCACCATAGGTTACATTAATGCAGAGGAAGGGGGGAAAAGCAATTTTCGGGAGTATGATTCACCATCTGACGTTGCATATAAGGGAAAAAAGTTGTTTATTTAGTTTCGGCTTTGGTACGGGGAAAAAATGCTCGTTCATTAAAAACAATTAAAAAAAAGCACTAAAAGCAAAAAATAAGCACTAAAAACAAAAAAATAAGGACTTTAAAGAAAAAGTATGCACCTATAAGGGCCTTTATATTTTATTTTCAAATATAAGGACTTATAAGCACTTGTAAGGACCACTACGAACCCTGAATAAATATTAAAACACTTATCGGAAGGAAATGCAACATAAATAGATTAAATAACAATGGCTGGCTTAAATTATATCAAGTATCTAATAAAAACATACAATGTTTGTAACATTATATTAACATCATAAATCACTTACTTCTTCATAGATTTCTGATGGGTCTTCCACAGGAGCATTATGGCAACTGCTTTTGTCTCGACAACAACTAAGTGGGACTGAACGATTCTGCCACCATTTAGCATTCCAGTCTAAGTAATCATTAACACCGCAGCACTTAAGCTGTAAAAAATGTCAAATTCAGATGACTGCAATTTATAAAATAAAAAACATATTTCACATATACCAAAATATTTAATCAAATTAATTATTATCGCTTGATTATTTAATTTTGCACTATACTGGGCAACTTTCATAATTAATAATAAATAAACTTTGGCTTATCTATAGTGTGTGTGTGTATATATATGAAATATATGTTTAAATTTTTAGTGATAAGATAAACAAAAGAACCATCTAAAAAAAAGCTATTAAATATAAACAAAAACACTACTGCAAGCAACATTTTAAACATAATAATAAACAATTTTAAAATGAAAGTAGCACACATCAGAAGAAATGTTTATAAATCATCATTAGTAGCAGACCACACAACATGGTTGAGAAAGAATCATATCCAGCTGTATTTCAGAAATATTTAAAATAGATAAATCAATGAAAAGAATCAAATGTAAATACATAAAAATATGAAATTGCTGCCTTCCACACAGCAAAAATAAAACTTTTAGGTACTAAAAATACTGAAATTTGAGGTTATGAAACAATATTTATTACAAGTCATTAAATGATAGTATTTGTTTCAGCATTATTTTACTCATTTAAAAATTCTGCTATTTTACTTTTTAGCTGGGCACCAGCGATGATTCAGCAAATACTGTTTTACTATGTTCACTGGCATTCTCTGCATGAATTTCTAAAACTGGCATTTGATTAATTTACTACTGTTCCATTATGTTTTTATTTTATTTGGGACTTAATGACAACAGAGGAGCAAGAGAATTTCCCCCCCAAGAAAAAGGCATTTTGCTTACTAATGCAGCTTAAGCATGAAATTAAATCATACTTTGCAGATGGCATTTGATAGCAATGCAACATTTCTACCTGCTGCAGCAAAAAGTCTGGATCATTGAGACAATTTTTTAACATTTCTGTTAAGACATCGGTAAAATGGTGCGACAAGTAGTTGCAAATAAGCTAGGACATAGTTACAGACCCAAATATATATATATTATGGAAATATGCAGCCAAAAAATAAAGACTTTGTTGAATTCATGTGGAGAGGGGAAATAAATGATCTATTTAAAAAAAAATATCAGAATAATATTAAAAGACCTTGCTGGCACCCCCTTCAAATGAAGTAAGAAATGTGGTAGTCTTTTTATTTCTGCGTATGTGTGTATTACAACCACTGCTTTGAGTTTTAAATTAAATATTTTCAATTTATGGCATTTCATATTAAAAGTTATTTTGGGTATTTTAAATGAAATGAATGAAAATTATTTTTATTTTACTTTTTGAATGTGTTTGTATTTTTTCTATTGATGTTTAAGCATTTCATTTTTTTTAACCACGGAATGGCATGGTATACCATGTCCAAAATAACACAAATCTGCAAATGGTAACATAGCACCTAACGTGAAATTACCAAAATTTCATCTGTACAGCTACTTTTAGATCTTAACTTCAAAATTCAGTCTTTAAAAAAAAAATTCATATGTCGCCCACAGAGTATAGTGGTTAGGGGAGCCTACTATGGTACCGAAGGGCCCTGGTTCAAAACCCAGAGAAGACATGGATGTTTGTAAATGTATAGTGTTGGTGTGGAGAGCTGAAAGTCCTCTCCTGTGGATTAGTGGAAGGGGAGATGGGTGAGAGACCCCCGGGTCTCCCGGAGTGCTCCCCCTAAAAAAACCCTAAAATATGGAGGTGGGAAAGAAAAGTCTATCCTTTCTTCAGAGTAGGCCCTGGCAACTACTGTTCCATGTAATATGGACAACAACAAAAAAATCATATCAAAAAAGTAAAAGCATTCCCATGGACACAAATATATTTCTTAGTTTCTTAATCATAAAATAAGCTAGTTGAACAATATGACACAGCTTTATTTTAGAATTAAAACTTAAAGATAAAATAATTTTGACTGTTATGCATTTACTTTCAGTAAATAATATGCAGGAAAATATAACTGATAACTCATTGCTGGAAAATATAACTAGTTACAGCTGGTTGAAAGTATATTCTTAAATAACTGTAAAAGCATTAAACACTAAATGCTAAATGTAATTTTCATAGTTTAGCCATTATACAGCCTTATAAACATTTCTATATTACCAGTTATCTAAAACTAATGAAATAAAATCTTACATAGGACTGTAAAATATCAATGTCTTTATCTCGAATGCCACCTTGGCCGTAATGATCAACACTATTATTTAATCCTGTTTTAAAGCCATCTTTAATTTTGCCACGGTAGATGTATCCAGCTACTCCAGCTACCAGTTCTAATATAAATATCAAACTTAAGAAAACAGCTAGCTGCAAAGAAAAGTAAGTAACACATTATTTTTATTATTCAGTTTAGAACTGCTAATGCCAAAACGGCATATAATTAAATTTTTATAGAGTTGGAATATAAAAAGATTTAGTATTATATATAAATCTCTGTGTATGGCTGGAAACTAAATAAAATCAGAAACAAAAACTATAAATAAACTTATCTTGAATTAATAACAAATATTGAGAAATAATTATATGAACCTTTTTAACCTTTAGAATCCAATACAAATGTCTCAACAGTTTTATTGAGAACTTTGCATTTTAAATCTTACAAACAGAAAAATATCAAAATTTGATGATACCTTTTAACTATCACAATAAATATTCTCAAAGACGCATTTTAAAAAATTGCATTTTTGCCCCCCCCAAAAAAAATATTAAAGAATTCAACTGGTATAGCAGTATACTTTGTATTCCTCATCAGCAATTCAAACTAAAAGAATAATAAATACAAAATTTAATAATCTGTTTCCCAATGTAATATTCTATTATACATAATAAAAAACACTAAGCAACATTGTGGTCAATACATTATTACATATAACAAAAAACCTTGTCATCTACATTATACTGTCTGACAAATTACATGTTTTGAGCATCAGTATAGTCATTTACAGAGTTATTTAGCAAAGTTATTTAGCTGTATAGATAGAGAATTCAAGCATTAAAACATTGTTAACTATTACATCACATATATTTTCTTAGACTATTCAAAGTCTACATTTGAAATTCACACAGGTAACCAAATAAGATGTTAAAAAATGAAAATCTTTTTAAGTGTAATGAAGCAGCAATACTACTTGCCATATATAATAAAACTGGCTGGCCTTTCACTGTACAACAGCAAGCAAAGAGGCCTACCAACACAATCACAGCTCCAGTTCCAATAAATATATATGGGACAGCTTCATTATAATCATCTGATAGTTCAAGAAGGTTGTGGAGTGAGATTTTCATCCATAATCCAAAAGCTAAAAGAGCTATTCCAGCAATCTGGAAAAAAAAAAAAAAAAAAAGATATCAATTCTAAAATTTCAAGATGCATGTAAGAACTTTAACTGTAAAAGAGTTGAAGTAATTATGAAAATAAGAATACTGCTAATATTTCTACGAGTCACTAATATATATTATAAGTATAAATATTTTTAATTACATACTAAATTATTTTTAGCAATGAAATCTTTATTCTTCAGGTATAATTACACATCTGATTAAAAATTAATTAATAAAAGGTTTTCAAAATGCTTTTAGTTTTGTTACAATATCTTAAAAATTTACCCATTTACCTCTAATCATATATATGTGTATGGGTAAGATAAAAAATATAAAAGCAAACTTTAATTTTAATTGGTTACAACCTCTTTTATTTTTCATTTAATTTGGAAGCTTCTTCTCTTTATCTTAAAAATAGAGCTATAAGTCTAAACTGCCTCATTCAAATTAATCATGCGATTTTATGACATGATGTGAATGATTTAGAACTTGGTGGTAACATAATAGATGCCTAGTAAAGAAACTTGGCAAAACAGACATGGCTGGATTCAAGATAATTTTATTACTGAAGAAAGTAATTCTGGACTCTCAATATTTGGTTTACATACGGACGGGCGTCTGATGTGCCCTACATTTTTATTAACTCGGCACATATTCAGTGAACAAAGAAGGTAGCTAAAAAGCACAAGATCACATGATTAATTTGTATGATGCAGTTTAGACTTGTAGCGCTATTTTTAAGATAGAGAGAGGAAGTCCCCAAATTAAATGAAAAATAAAAGAGGTTATAGCCCATTAAAACATGAAGTTTACTTTCATATTTTTTATCTTACACATGTCTAAACTGCATCATTCAAATTAATCATGTGATCTTATGTAATGCTTAATGAAGATACCTCTTGTTCAATCACTAAATAATTGTAAACCAAAACTTTTTAAACTCGAACTGCGACTCCCTCCCTTCCTTTCTGAATTGCAGCAACACTTTTCTCCTTGCTAAATGCTTTTTTGCTACCTTCTTTGTTCACTGAATATGTTCTGAGTTAACAAAAATAAATGTAGGGCACATAAGACACCCGTCCATATGTGAAGCAAATATTGGGAATCCAAAATTGCTTTCCTCAGTAATAAAATTATCTTGAATCCGGCCATGTGTGTTTTGCCACGTTTCTTCACTAGGCATCTATTATGCCACCACTAAGTTCCAAATCATTCACATCATGTCATATATATATTTGCTCCAAGAAATTAATTTTTAATGGATGGGGGGGATGTTATAGCTACATTTCCCTAAAAATTTTTGAACCTTTAGGTATAAATACTTAATTTCCAGTTTCAAAATATATCATAAACACCATGCCAAAAATATGAAGCTACACTTTTTTTTTTTTTTTTTTTTTTTTTGTTATTTTCATTTACTTTTACTTTCTAGGCCAATTTTTTTATTATTTATTTATCCCACTATGCTTAATTTAAAAACAAAAAAGACGACTCGCATTTTCTGAGGAGAATATAGAAGATTTAATCTCAAAACTAAAGATGTGTCAAAGTTGTACATTCATTTTTCTCAAGATAACAATTTTTTAGATTCTTGATTCTAATAAAGAGTTATCAACAATACATTTTATCATAACATATTCTCTGCCTAATATTCTAAACAGTTCAGTTAATAAATGCATGAATAAAGCTTTAAATGGTACTTCTTTACATTTAAATTACAAAACAGACTTTAAATTAAATATTAACTGATATTAAAAACTGTTACTTTTAAGAATCCACCAAAAGATTAATACTAAAAAAAAAAATAACAATATGTTTACAGAGAATATTTTAGAAGAAATAATCACTGAAATATTATGAAAGTTAATTTTTATAAAGTATTAACAGGAGACGCTATTTCCTAGCTAGACTTAAAATATTAAAAAATTTACAGAAGTGAAATTAAGTGTGATTAAAATATGAAGCTCTGGTTCTTATACTGGTTAGTTCAGCAAAAATATTTTAAAAATACAACTCAAACATCTCCTCTTAATAATGACCCACAGGAAAAGTCCCAATTTTCTTGTGGATCAAACATATATGATTATATATTTAAGCATTGAAAATTTTAAATTAAGAATTATATGAACAACTGCATATTAATGAAGGAAATGCAGTGTATAAAACCTCATAGAAGCCTTATTTGAATTTTAGTTAACCTTTTGAAGACAGGATGGCCATTATAGTGGCCATAGAATCCTCTCTTTGTAAAGACGGGGTTGTCCACTTTAGTGACCATGTCTTTTCCCCCACTTTCCAGGCTGAAAGAGGGATGAAATAAAAAATCTGACGTCCCTGGGGTTTTAACTATTTATCTCTTTGAAAGGTCTTTGTGCTAAGGATCCAGATTTCCCAATATTTCCCTTTTCATTCTTGTAGCTACACAGCAACAGAATTCACGATAACTGAGTCTGTAAATTGTATACAGAGCTTTGCGGTGCTTTGGAATATTGCATATTTTCGTATGATTTTCTCGCAAGATGCCGAAAAGGAAAAGAGGGCTGACTGTAGAAGAAATACAAAAGCTTCTTCAAGAGCTTGATGAAGAAAACTACGGAGCTACAGAATCCGACTGTGAGCTGGACATAGAAAATGGATCTGAAAGTGAACATGAGGATGTGGAAGTAACTTCATATTTATTAACTGATTCGGTAAATTACGGTGATGAACAACAAACTGATAATGTGGACAAAATCTCTCAATTCAAAATTTGAATGGCTTGAACCAAAACCTGATGACAAGGTAAATGTTTTGAATTTTATTGGAAGAAACATTACAAAAGGCCTTGCTTCTCAAGCTGCAAAAGAAATTGAATTTTTAAAAAATCTTTTCTGGCAAAATATTATTGAAAAAATTATCAAAGAAACAAATCATTATGTGGAACAAATACTAAGGAAAATTCCAGTTTTAATCCTGAATTTAAAAAAAAAAAAAAAAAAAAAAAAACCATACAGTTACATGGAAAGGTGTTAATGAAAGTGAATTGCTAAATTTTTTGGTGCTGATATTGCTGATGGGGCATATTCAAAAAGACAAGATAAAAGATTACTGATCGACAGACGAAATGCTTGAAACCTCCTTTTTTAAATAAAACTATGCATAGAAGATTCTTGCAAATTCTTCGTTTTCGGTACTTCAAAGGTAACATATCACCACCAGACAGAAAGGATCCTAATTATGATCGATTTTGGAAAATAAGGGATATATTTGGGCATTTGAGAAAGAATTTCAAGGAAGTATATGAGCCCTCCAAAGAACTGGCTGTAGATGAAGTAATCGTTCTTTTTAAGGGAAGAGTAATTTTTAAACAATATATTCCTAAAAAGCATAAGCATTTTGGAATTAAAATTTATAAGCTTGGGGACTGCCATGGTTACACATACGATATGAAAGTATACCTCGGATGACATTCCTACGAGTCGAACAATGAGAAATATGCCTCTCATAACATGGTAATAGCATTAGCAGAAAGTGTAAAAGGCAAAGGACAAACTTTTTATGGATAATTTCTTTTTTTGACCGGATTTATTTCATGAATTGCTGCATAAATAAAAAAATAAACAGTTGTGGTACAATTCACAGCAATCGGAAAAGTTATCCGAAACTGAATGCTGGCATTCGAATGCAGAAAGGGCAATTTAAACAAAATTTTCATCAGGAATGACTGCAGCTTGTTGGAAAGAAAAGAGAGAAGTATTTATGCTCAGCAACATGCACAATCCCATTGCAGCCTTTGACGAAACGGGAAAACCCGAAATTGTATCAACTTACAACAAAAATATGGTATTCGTTGACGTAAGTGACCGAATGGTAAATAGTTATACATTCGGAAGAAAATCTTTAAAATGGACACAGAAAATCTTTTTTCATTTACTCGATCTAACAGTTTTAAACTCCTTTATTTTGTACAAAATGAAAATTTCAGACTTATCTTTGGCAGATTTTAGAAAAAAATCTTATAAAGCAACTCCTCAATGATTCAGAAGCTTCAGTCAGCTCTCCCCATGTTTCAGACACAATTCCATTGATAGGCCACTGGCCCATTCAAATCAAAAACTCCACGAAGATGTGCTGCTTGTCAGGGAAGTGGAATAAGGAAGCAATCAACGTATGCTTGCGAAAAATGCAATGTACAGCTCTGTGTTACTTGCTTCCAAAATTTCCACAAAAGCAAATGAGAATATTTCTTTTTAACATACTTATAAAAATTAATGGTTATATCATCCTGAAACTTATTTTTTCTGTAATAAACTGTTCAATATCTCTTTCCTATTTTCCTATCCTTAAAAAATAATCAATGGGTCCTCCACAAGATCCAAAATCATAAAGAGAAGAAACTATACATTTTCAAATACTCATGGTGGGATGTATATACATAAACATACAAATATAATGTACATATATAATTGAATACATATATATATATATATACAGTACAAAGTCTTTAATCCGGACTCGTCGGGACTTTGGCGATTACGGATTAGGGGGTTTTCTGGATTATAGATCATCAATTTAAATCTGGTAAGATGCCATGCAGAAATTATAAAATTAAAAATATGAAACCATAATTTATGAAATAAAGAGCAATTATGATCAAAATTTACAAAAAAAAGCTTAATATTTATTTATTTACTTTATTAAACATTCCTTTCAATGTAAGTTGTTTGAGTTGCTTCGTTTTTTTGTGCTAATACTTTCTCTTTAATTCTATAAACAGACATAATTTCTTGTTCAGTTCCACTGTTCAAGTCCTGTAATTGGTGTTGTCGAGAATACCGACTAACTTGTCAATCAAAATTTTTTCGTTTTCAATAACCTCTTTGTCACTTTCTTCACTATCAGAAGTGGTACATCGAAACATGCTTTCGCTTTGTGATCCTTTGGCAGCTCCAGAATTGGAAACTCTTTTTGACATAATCGAAAGTTAAAGCTTACTTTTTATTAAATTGCTCTAACAGTCC